TGTACTGTGATTGTCATTTAGTTTAAAGCATTCGTAACCAAAAGAATATCTATTGTTTAGTTCACCATTTTCAAGCCAATGTTTGTAGTTTAATCTGTTAGTCAACAACTGTCTTAGCATAAGTAAATGCATACTTTTTTTCACGCTGATCATTTTCTTTGTGCCTTGGAGAGAGAAAAGTAGGTTGAAGTTCAAAAGGACGCTCAGAGATTTCCTCCTATTTAAAGAACAGAGTGGTAACTTGCAGATCTGTATTCAAGACTGTGTTAGAAACATGTTAAATTTTCTAAACAGTGTTTAGTATATATAAAAAAAGGTTTGATAATTGGAGTGCATCCACTTTTTAATAAGCATTCTCGAAAATAAACACAAGATGAACCCGTGAATAAAATGACACGGGAATGCTAAGAGAAATGCTCTTTGAAGCCTGATACAATGGTGCACATACATCCCACTTTGGAATAGTGGGGGATGAGTGACCCGGGGTCAGAGGTCACCAAAGCCTTCTGTCTCTCACTGACCATAGGCTTTATTCCCATGAAGCCAGAGTGTCTTACATTCAAACTATTTTTAGCAAACTTTTTGATGACATGTAATGTCTTGAGGTTTGCATTCCCAGGATTCCCACCGGTTTTGATGAGCAGTTATTTCAAGAGCTAAAACAGATAATCAGAGGGATTTTGTGCAGATTTTCCATCACCCCCAACCCCAACAAGAAAAAAGGGATGCTCTACAATTACATGCATGACATAACATTTTGTTGTCTGTCTTGATTGGCGACATGGGTTGAACATGAAACATCTGCGCAGTAAGGTATTGAAACCTTAAGGATAAAACGCTTTCACCTCATTCTTCACTTCTGCCATGATCAGGTATGTGGACTATTAAATTTAATGCACAAATGTGACCCTGGAGCACAAAACCAGTCATAAGTAGCACGGGTACATTTGTAGCAATAGTCAACAATACATTGTATGGGTCAAAATTATCGAGTTTTCTTTTATGCCAAAAATCATTAGGATATCAAGTAAAGATCATGTTCAATTAAGATATTTAGTAAATTTTCTACCGTAAATATATCAAAACTTAATTTTTGATTAGTAATACGCATTGCTAAGAACTTAATTTGGACAACTTTAAAGGTGCTTTTCATAATATTTAGATTTTTTTGCACCATCATATTCCATTTGTTTTAAATAGTTGTATCTCAGCCAAATATTGTCCTATCCTAACAAACCATACATCAATGGAAAGCTTATTTATTCAATTATTTAAAACAAATGTGACCCTTATGACTGTTTTTGTGGTCCGGGGTCACAAATGTCTGTGTTAAATAAATGCACTATGCATTATGACCAATTGTATTTGTTCATATTAAATTCATTATGGGTTATTTTTACATTTTATTCGCATTGCAGGGAAAACTACAACCTTTTTCCTTTCCTCCCCAAAGTGTCCTATAGGCCTGTTGTTTTTGGGTTGCCACCAATTCTACATAAATTTGCTTGCTTACGCTAGTCCCAAGTAAAGCTTAGCCAAGAAGAACATTAATATAAGAAATCGTAAACACTTTCTTATTTAAATCAGTGCTTTACAATTGCTTTATAAATCCTCAATGCCAAAAAATACAAATGATCAGTCAGACCAAATACTGTGAAAGTGGTAAATGGATTATAGGATATAGGAGAGCGGATGTGAGTCGTGGGGGGATTGAGTGAGTAGAGTTGGGGAGGAGGAGGCTCGCGAGGCCCAGCATCACATGACGAGACGTTCGCGCCTCTTTCGTAAACCTTCTCCAACCTGATGATCCTGAACAACTCGGAGGTTACGCGCAAGTTTAACTTCGGCGGAGGCCTAAAACGCGTCCTAAAGCGTCAACTTACTGGCGTCGTGACCAGCGTTCACGCGTGGGTCTGTGCTGTGGCGAGAAATGATTGTGGAAACTTGTGAATTGTGAGAGTGTTTGTCGGTGGGACAGGCTTTGTGTGTGTGGAGCAGCAGCTGGGGAGCTAACAGACAATGTTGGAGATGGATCAATTAATGGACTCTTGAGCGCTTAGATATTATATTTGGAGGTGTTTGGTTGTCTTAACTAAGCACATGTAAGTGAAATTCGTTTTTAAAATAATGATACTAGCAACTTCTGACGACTGTATCAGGGAAATGTAATGTGTGACTATTAAAAGTCATTTGTTCTGATTATTTTTGGAAAGGAAATGAACAATTACGCCTGAGTTTACACGATTTGCTGATTAATATTTAACCCGTGTTACTAAAAGTTTGTGTACAGGCGAGTTATAACTTAATGTTACGTTACCTTGCTGAGTAAATCTGGACCGTTTTAAACTTCTCTCTAGTTTTATAATTTTAAAGACTGCAAAACCAGAGTTTGACGCTTAAAAATGTCTTTATTCTGTCTTTTGCGTTTATTATCTAAATAGTGTTATTTAACGTTACATACGCAAACTCATACTTGAAGTATTGGTGTATTTCACGTGGCTCCGCAATTCTCCATAGCAAGGGTCAGTCTATCAAAACCCAAACTCAGGTGAGAAACTTTATTTGGATTAAAGACGCATTGTAACTCAAACATGTTCTGAAAAATAGCCATTGGCGACCGTCGTTTAAAACCTCCTCAAAGTTCCTCACACTTAACCCAGTTTTGTTGTTGTTTTCAGCTCTTATAGATACTAGGAGTTCATTTCCTGCTGAAAACACCCACTCTTATGTAAACAAGCTTTTCATCTGCTTTGCTTAAATTGTAGCGTAATAAACATGTTATATCATTGAAGGGTCGATTAAACTCCAGCCTGTCGCCTTCTTGAAAGGAGAGCGTGTGGGTCTCACAAGCAGAAGATCGGGCACCGACCCCAAGGCCAAACGTTAGTTAACGTTTGCGATAACTTATTCATCTTCTGCGTTTTTCTGTCAGTCCTGGACGCCTGAGATTTGAAATAATGCGTAATAAAGCCTAATGCGCTTCTCTGACTTTGAAACGCATTAAAATGCAACTAAAAAAAATATTTAGACAACATGGCGTGAAGGGAATTACATTTTAAAGGTGCTTAAGTTGACTCTTTTGGCAGTAGACCTTGTATTTAGGCTATTTAATTAGCCTATATATAACAGCAGTGATAAAGAGCTTTCAACAAGTATCTTGAGTTGAAGATCCTCCATTTTGAGAGACCCAATGAGACACGAGCAAAGCGCGCCAATGACGCTCAGCCAGACTCGCAACATACTGAAGAATTTCAACTTTCTAAAAAAATGCGAACTTAATTAACTTAACCTCCAAAGTGACATGTAGTAACACTTTTAAAAATCCGTTTATAATTTAAATACATGTGTAGAAAACGAGGCAATGCCGTATAATCAAGTAGAAAGGACAGAAATTATTGTAGCTTGCTAAATGGGTGTAAACATTTTACAGTGGTTTGTAAACCTTTGTATTTTGTTGCTGTGTATTTGAATGAATTGATTCTTTAGATAAGCCAAATGTTTTAATTAAGGAATGAAAGCATACTTATAAGATTGTTGATTGGTTGTCTTTTTCCCCCCTCCTAGGCGTGTTGAAGATTAATGAAGCATTTCCCTGAAACTAAGGACCAGAACGCCACCCAAATGTAACATTATTTTAATATGGCCTTCCTGCTAAGGTGCATCTTGTGTAGTTAGTGAAGTAGTATAGTATCTACTGCACTAGATGCTCCTTTTGGCAGGAGGAACTGTATATTCAGCACATGGAAGCAAAACCCAAGTTCATTTGTTATTTGATTTGTTTACATGCGCTATTATAATATATATAAATTATTATTCTATTAATCAAACTGCACAATTTCTGTTTTTTCTATGATCAATGTGAGTTTGTCTTGGCAGTTCCAAAGTGCTCACAGTGCAGGTAGTGCCAGTGAATCTACTGCAGTGTTTGCACTTCAAGTATTGCCAGTCGCCTTCTGTCTGTCTCTCGGAGCTGTGCTAGATGCTGCTGCTTATGGAAAAGCCCTGTTATGCGTGGTGAGTTTTGCAGGATTGCATCCAGCTTTATTACAACATGCTGTGCAAATCCATGCAAAACTCGCTGCACCAGGGACAAACTTCTTCTACATTGAAGATGATTTCCAACTTACAAATACATGCAGTTAGTAAGCAAGAACTTTTATTTTTCTTTAAGTTCTTTCTTTCTTTCTTTCTTTCTTTCTTTCTTTCTTTCACTGCCATAATTCTAAGACACAAGATATCAAAAGAGCAAAAATGTAAGATGCATGGATTTCTGTTTTGATAAAAGGCAGCACTTTAATAATGTGAGATAAGAAAAGTGTAAATAAAATGTAGTTGCATATTTGTTTATGCATTACATACAAATATATATATATATCTTGCTGTTTTCGGGTGGATGACTGCAATTTTAATAGTGGCAAAAATCTTCCAACAAAAATTGCACAGTATCCATCTGTAATCCGCTAGACTACATTACCTGCGTTTTTTTGTTTTTGTTTTGAATATGTATACTGCTTATTTAAATTTTTTAATTCTCAATAAAATGTGGATGTTTGTTATTCTACCTGGCCCCTCTTAGAATGAAATTGATTTAAGAGATTTATTAGTGACTGTACGTTGCAATAACCCTTACCAGCACCAGATGGCAGCAGATAGCTGGAAATGTGACAAATCGTGTTTGTTGTTTGCTCTGCATATTCAAATGAATATGAAAATGTACATTTGTTAGACACGTAACATAGACATTGCCGGGAATCCAATCCCCTGTTGATATTACCACGTTTCACTTTTTTAACCAATTAAATTGCCATAAGACGTGATTGAGATCCGGTAGGGAAAAAAGTCAATTGGGATTTTGTGTAGTAGCCCAGACTTGATCTTGGTCTCTTTGTGCGCATGACCGCAGCAGTGCAAGAGATTCATAACGCGCCTCCTGTCTTCACAATCATAACTTTAATATCAACGAAAGAGTAAAATACCAAACGGGATTCTTCCGTAACCGGTTCATTTAAATAATGCAAGAGTCATGTGTAAATCTTGCAGTCCCGCCTTAAGCAGGGAAATGTGACCTTGATTTGTGGGCAAGAAGTTTGGCTCTGTTAATGAGCTGGAGATGAAGAGCTCCACAGGACTCTCCTCGCACTCACTTCAGTGATGCCGCCGCTGAGTCCAGCACATCGCTTTATGCTCACTTCAAGCAACGCAGATCGTTCCCGCTCTCTTCATTTGCGCTTGTAATCAAATTTATCACCAGAAAGCCTTTTTGCGCCATATATCTCCTTACTTCAGCGCATTTGGATTCATAATGCCTGGACTGAAGTTGCGCGGTGCACTGATCCTGTGCGTCCTGATGCTGCCGTTCTCTCGGCCGAACAGGCAGGTGCTGGACTGTCGCGAAGTGCGCTCGTCTTTTCAGTTTTTGTACCCGGGGATGAAATGGACCCCAGAAACGCCAGTCTCAGGTAAACCGAGCTATTCAGATCTTAGATTAAGTATCTTTCTATGTAAAATCTTTGTCCAAAAAGCTTTCAAAACACTGTCCAAAAGTTTTACCTGCCGTTTAATAAGACTTGTACGAATATTTTTAAACCTGATATAATACTGACATAATGTGTGATAGCCTACTGTATTTGTGTGTGGTTTTTCTATTTCGATATGAGTGGATTTATGTAGCCTATTAAAATACAGTGCGCTATAATCTAAATTATTTTGTTATTGATATTTTCCACGTAACAGCGTTTCGCATAGTTTAAAGTAGCCTAAGAATCCTTTAAAATGTACATTAATATACGACTGAGCCATATTCCAGCTGTACAGAATTGCAATGCTCTAGTAATCGGATACAATTTATAAACCTTCGGTAGCCTATTAAAGTAAAACTGCTTTCATAACTAAATGAAAAACGTATGGCGTGCCTTTTTAACTTTTATTTAGTAGGCTATAGCTAGTTTTGTTACTAGCATGTATTTTTAAAATAAGTAGTCTAATCCAACTGTGATTAACATATTCTCCCAATTTTTCACTTGTATTTATTCATTAGCTAGTGTTTATACTTTTGCTGATAGATGTTATTGTTATAGTAACTTTTACTGGTAACAAATTGCACATTTTTGTTAACGAATTCAATAGGGATCTATATTCCAATACCAATATTTCACCTTGGATTAGTAGCCTATATATTCCAGCTTTAATAGTAGGCTACATACTAGATTGCTGTCTGTGAGACCATGTTATATATGCCAGTTGTTACTTTTAACAGTAGTATGGATACTAGTATCTATTCATTTCGTTAAAGTTGAGATAGACACTAGGAATAGGTGCCAGCAACAACCAGAATGCATATACTTAAAAGTGAGTAGTTCATATCTGAACCACAAATCCCAATAGAATTCACTTAACATTTGCTACCAGTAAAAACAAGTAGTTACTTATCAGTATTGGAAAAGTGATTATAGTAGTAGCCTAAATTAATAGGCTAATTAGTGACTTTACTGTAGTGAAACTGAAAATGATACTAGTCACTATTGGCTTACCCATTAAAAAATACTAGTAACAAAAATACATACTAGTTATTTTTAAAGACCAAATGTTAAATTTACTTGCCATACAATTCCTTTTTTTATGTTTGCATTTCCTGTAGCTCATTTCTTGGGATATTATTTTCACCCTCTGCGTGATGTGAAGCTCACGGCTGAAGATGAAATAAGTGTCCTGACTGGATTGTCATCTTCAGCTCTGAGCGGTGGCTGCAGAAGTAGCCCGAGGAGAGCTGTAATTTTTTTTTTACTTAATTTGAATAATTTGAACCATTATGAGTCTTTCTAACACCATGTGTTTCGATTTGTAGGTGAAAGATTGTAAAACCCGAGCAATCCCTTAGGTTCGAAGGCGAATTGTGTTAGTCTGTTTATTGAGGTTGCTACATTTCCCAGCGGAGAGCTGAGGAGATAGATGAGTTGAGATGAATGACAGGATGGATGGCTGGCTCTCCTTAGCTGCTTGAAGCTTTAATTCTGTCTCAACTGGAGGCTGGAGAGACGTGGGGTAGAAACACGAAGAGTTTGTTTGGCCCTCACAACAAAAAATACTGCTGAAAAGGATCTTGCTTTTCCCCAGTGACTGCATTTTGTTGTCAGGCTGCTTTATGTGCAAGTATCTTCATTTTTTTCCCCTAGTGGTAGCAATTGCTTCAAAAAGAACTTACATCACTATTCCAGTCATTTGTTTTTACACTTAAGATAATTAACATTACAAGTTTTGCATTTTAAAATGGAATTTAATCAGAGGTGCTGTTCGTTTTTGCAGAGTTCCCATTTGCAATTTAAATGGATTGCAATTGGGTTAAGGACAAGGAACAGAGTGATATTCTCAGTCATTTGCCTTCTCAGAGGAATTTGAACACATTTTAACCTTTATCAGAGTTCAAGAAAAGTAACAGAGTGATTGCATTGCATATTTTACTGGACTGCAAGAACCTGCATCCACTATCTGGTGTACTTTTACTGCGAAAACTTACCGGATTGCATGCATAAGATTTGAAACTCGTATATGTTGCAGTTTTCATATGAATTTCTTTGAAAGCATTTTGGGTTGGTTGTGCTCCTCTTCAGTAGCTGGTATGGGACTTCATGTCCTGATGGGTACAATCATGCAATAAAAGCCTTTTTGAAGCCCTAGATTTTTGAAACCTAAACATTGCTCTTCAGAGAAAGGACTAACTGTGAGTTTTTTTTTTCTTTCGGAAGTGTGCCGCAGGCGGTGTAGAGTCCTGATAATCCCAGCGGCACCGGGCTCTGGACTTTACGCCTGGTGCAGTAATTAGTGGTGCGGCGAAGCCTTTGGCTTTATTCATTTTGATTCATTATATGAACCGATACCACGCGGCTCCAGCATATGTAGCCAGAAACCTTAATTGGGTGTCCTTGTATTATGTCAGACTATGAAAGAATGTGAGGTTAATTGTTTGCCCCCCTTATTTGGTATTGATTTATGTGTTGGCCAAATGTATCTTAAGAGGCATACTTGTTTAGAAAAATGTCATAACAGATGCGTGAAGGAAAGAAGTGAACTTAATAACTTTTCTCTTTTAAAGACGTATAATGTCCCTGTTTATGTGAGTCCAATAAGTACATAACATCATAATTTAAAAAAATCTAATGACAGTTTGAGAGGATTTTGTTAAGCCTCGTTTGTACACAAAGAGCATTGTGCAAAAAGAGCCATCCAGTTTCCTTCAAATGGAGCACCTATTCCAAACCCAGTGCACGTCGCTGGCCTTGAAGTAGCAAATGAATGTAGACAACCTTAATGTTAATTGGAAATTGGAACGACTTCGGGCTGTATAGTGTTGCTGTCACCTTCTAGTGATTTTATTTATTCCACCGAGAGTTTTTCTCTCTCCCGGCCTGCTTGCAGATTTAATGCTTTGCTTGATTTGTATCGCATCTCATGTTCTGAGTTTGGTTCCAAAAGTTCGCACTTGCTGTGCTACAGAAACCTGTATTACTCTTAGTCTGTTTCTCGTATTAGATGCGGCGTTCACCTTCAGAGACCCCTTTTTCTGAACCACGCAACAGGCAGCTGCATCCGCTGCCCTGTGACCCCAGTAAACCCGGTGGTGGGCTTTAAACTCGTGGTGATATTTGGGTTGACAACCGCTGTGTTTCTGTTCAGCTGCCAAATGTGATCTCTACTGGCTTCTGTGAGTGGGATGGTGAGATGGAGAGAGAGAGAGAAGAGAGGATGTGATGACTGATGTATCTACAATGGAATACAAGCAGGCCAAGCCGAGACATGCAGCCCGCAGGAAGATTGAACTGAATTCTAATCATACCGCATGTAATGCCAGGGGGCCACAAGACCAAAAAAGCCAATGAGAGGTTCTCCCTTTTTCTACTGGCACATCTTTTCCATTTTTTTTTTGTTGATGTCTCTGTTGCTCATCCCGGCCTTCACGTCCCGAGAGGAAGAGCTAAATGTCAAAGCACAATAGACAGCTGACTGTCTTTGTAGTCTCAAAGGCACCTTTACTCTGGCTCACACGTACTGCCGTTACATCAATCTGATGTTTTGATGTGGCGTCCCCTGCAAATATTTTATTAGATAATGAGTGCTCAAATAAGGATGACCGTTGTTAAACTCATAGTTCGGTGTCGTTGCTTTGGTTTCGTCTGAGTAATGAGGGGTTCGGAGGGTTGAGTACAAAGTGAAGTCAGGGTCCATCTCTCAGCAGTCTCTCTGATCAACATGAGATGAGAGGGAGCCGTATTCCCGTCCGTTGGTACTCACGAATGAGATCCAGCTAATGAAGTGCCACTGACCTCCCTCAAGAGCTCGTGTTAGAGGATGTTAAGGGGCTTCTGTGCCGCTTGTTTTAATGTCAGTAATGGCAGAATGCATTTCAGAGACACTTGTTCACCCCATCAAAGGCTAGATCCTCTCAGTGCAGGCAGTATTGTTATTCCAATTATCAAAAGCAAGTCCTCGTAGAAATGATAAACTACCTCGCTAAACATGCTGTCTTTATTTCAACAAACAGAATTGTAAATAGGGAAACTACGTCTGCCATTGGTTGGTCAAGTGGATAGTCCTGTTTCAATCTCATCGGTTGAGCCTGTGTCTGGATGCTCAAATGTTTTGAAGTTACCACTGTATTTACACTTTTGGGGGGAAATCAATATACAAATGGATTACTTATAGTTGTCTTTGAGATTTGAGAAAGTATTTTATCATAGAAAAATTGTGCATAATGCACATCACCGTTAATTGGTGTTCAGTTAATTTATAGCTGCATTTTTAAACATGAGAGTTAAAAACATTACTCAAGATATATGTATGAATATTCAATCAAATTGCTTATCATCATTATTATTATTATTTATTCACATATTAGTACCTTAAAGGTACATATTACTACTTTAAAAGTACATATTTTATTTCCTCTACTAAATGTATTTATTTTTAAATGAATTATTTATTTAAATTATATTTTACAATAATTTACAATTTCATTACAATAATATTTTTCTATATTATTTAAAATATTATTTTAGTATTTTATTTTTAGTATATTTCATATTATTTTTTATAATTTTTATGTAGAATAATTGAAGCATTATTATTATTATATAACAACAATGTATTTTTAATGTACATATTAATTTTCACATGCAGTGATCACTTCATATACACTTTATATATTCACATATTTAATGCTTGGAAGGTTCTAACATTTTTCGTAGCAATATGTGAAGTCCTTAAGAGATTTAGTATAGTGTCAAGGGGCAGTAGACAGTGCCTTGGGCAGTGAAGTACCTTCATATTTTGATAAATGCCCACACAGTTTCTGTAATTATGAGATAATGGCTTAGGTCAATGTCTCTGGTAGTCCATTTAAAGTTGAAGGTGAGGGATCACATGCCCACAAGCCATGAAAGTTTCTACTAATGACTGTGGTCAGCCTTTCTATTAAAGCACATATCTTGGATTTTCCTGGGCTGATTGAAACACAGTGTGTTTGTGCGGGCTGCGGGCTTTTATTGTGCTGTTACTTACTTTATCTCTCCCTAACTGAATCTCACCCTTGTGTGCTCCATGCTGTGGAAGTCTGATGTACTTTCTTTCATTAAATAATTCCAATGGCACTGTAAGATGACAGAAGGCTTTGCTTTAGTCCATTAACTCTCCTGTCTCCCTGTCTAGGAGCCCGATTCATAATCATATACTTCGTATACTTTCATCAGCCCGTTGACTTTCCACTTCTTTTAATTGTGCACATATATTGATGTCTTTGAAGCGAGTCTAGAAAGAAAAGTCATAATTCCTGTGTTGTTGCTCTATGATTCATGCTTCTAATAACATCCTTTTAACATTTTCTGTATTTTAACACAGCATGTTTTCCCCACAGCCTCCATTAAACTTGCATGCTGATAGCTTTATAAATGGTTCTTAAGATCACGCTTATGCATGCATCTGGCTGCGCTCTGTGTCTTCAGGCTTGTTAAGGAGGAGCGTGAGGCTAAAATGTGTACACAGCGCTCACCACGTCTCCGTCAGAGCCGTCTTTTTCATCTGGGCTCCGACAGGGATACTCACACGCCTGAGGCCTTTGGGCGAGGCTGCATGAGGGAAGGGGAATTTAGGAGTTTTTTCTAGAAATTTTAGGCGATAAGGAAGGAAGTGAGTGTGTCATGACTCAGTGGACAATGAATATGGAAGAGGTCGCACATGAAAAGATATAATAAAATATTTACAAAAATGTGAGGGGTGTACTCACTTCTGTGAGATACTGTATATAGAGGCTTAACCTATGTTTTTCAGCCAGAGTCCTTGAAGGTACACCAGGGGGGTCTGAGGAAAAGTAGCACGATACACACTTTGTGACATTTCTAACTACTAGTTAACTAAATATCTGTTAAGCATTTTATAATCACTGTTAATGTTCTTATGGTCAATGACATGATTCTACTTTTTTTTATTTAATTCACAGTATATAAATGCAATGAACTTTTAATTGAAAATTAATTTTAATATTTTTTGGAAGGATATAATGTCAAATATCAGGGCGATACAACTGTCCTGATATCATGAAAATTGATACTTGAAATTCATACTTCATAGAAAATTGAAATAAAGTAGCTTGATTGTATCTCTCACTGAACGTTTGCAAGTATTAGTCTTTTATGTCTTAGAAAAAGGTGAATACATCTTATAATATATCATAGAATTTGACCTGGTTAGTTCAGGTTTTAAAAGGTCTTATGATGCAACCTCCCAAAAACTTGCTGATATTTATGAATTGATAATTTATGGTATTTGTGAAAGATACTTATTTAAAAATATGATTAAGATGTGTACATTCATACTTTGGAAAATATGTTATTACATTTGCTTTGAACTAGATTTTTAAAAGTTTATGTATCTTGGACACACTTATTTGTCATTGACCCCTTAATAAAAGCTATTACAAAATGTTATATGTAAGTATAAAATGGGTAAATCTAGCTGTTTTATACTGGCAGTATGAGTTGAAAACTGCTGCTAGAACAAGACAAACAAATGACGTTTGTATGGTCACATTCTCAGTGCACGATATTTCTTCTACAAACTGAGGCATCTACGTTTTAATTTCGAACAAATGTTTTCTGTTCCATTTTCAGAAGACAAACAATCTAATCTGTCGTATTTATGAGCAGTCTTTAGTTAGAGACTGTGATGTAATATTTGTTTATGCTTCTCTGCTTGGAGCAATCTCCCTCCTGTAAAGTCCTTCACTTTTCCCTGACAGCTCGCAACTTCTCTAACAAAGTACATTTATCATCTGCAAACAGCAGACGTGCCGATAAAATTGCCTGTTTTGCTGAAGATAATTACAGAATCTGTCTGAGTTCTTTCTCCTATCATACCTGTTCCCTTCTGCCAGCTCTCCCCCCGCCCCTCCACTCGCTAGGCTATTGACAGCTTAATAAATTTGCCTTGGAATCTGAAATTAGCTCGATCGTATCTGTCGCCGGTCCTTTGCGAGTATTGATTTTGGATATTAAGCCTGTCGGTGCGCATATGAAATGTGCCGTCTGCACAATATGGCAGGTTTGCCCATGATTTCTCATTTCATATCCGTATTGGTGCAGATCAGAAAGTGTTGGGTTTTTCTTGCTGTTGTTGGTATTTGATGGCATGTGATGTTAATGGGTTTATTTACCCATTCCTAACAGGCGCTGTGTGCTTAGTAGATCAGCATTTTTTGCTTTCTCCTAAGGCGATTTCTTTGACATTTTGTCTTCACATTTTAATATGGGATTTAAAATTTGGCAGCACTTAAATCTCCTGCATTTTAATCTCTTTCATGGTCTATTAAGTTATTTCAATCAACAAAATTTGTAGAGTATGTTTTTAGGACTTCTTGTTGGATTTGTTTTCTCATCTTCGATGATGAACTGGCAAGGATTGAAAATTTAAAATGTGATAATTTATTCAGCAGTCTTTCAGTATAAGAATCGAAAGGAATTTAATGATTCCGGTTCTGAATCCTAACAGTTCCATTAATGATTCTTTTCCATTTGAGAAGGAAATATTAGGAAAGCAGAAACACAATTCTGTTGCCAAGTGCTTGGATCATTTTCATAGTAAACGTGTAACAACCAAGAACAAAAAATTTGGTAATATATTTCATTCAGTCCTTTATTTTTTTTTATAGAATACCACTGACAGAATGTCATGATGTGTATTGACTACCAATTATCATATGAACAACTAATCAGTACCTACACTAATTTAGGCCTTAAAGGGATACTGACCCAAAAACTTTTTTTAATCATTATTTACTCATGTTCATGCCCTTCCAAACTTGTGTTTTTTTTTTCCGTGGGAGAAAAAATAAGATATTTTGAAAAATGAAAAGTTACTGGGGTCCAGTGTTGTTTGGACCCCCCCTTTTTAATATCTTATTTTTTTGTTTCACAGAAGAAAAAAGTCAAACAGGTTTGCAACAAAAAGAGGATGAGTAAATGATGACAGAATTCTCTTTTTTTTTAATTTTTTTTTTTACGTGAACTACATTTGCAGGCCTATTTATGTTTTTGATTCAAGAACCGGCTCATAAGGGTCATCTCAAGAATCGGCCTTCACTGCTTGTATTGTATTTTTCGCTCTGAACAGCAATGGAGGGAACAATATCAGTGAAATTTTTAATCCTATTGGAAGAATATTGTCAATTTTAAAACCATTAATAAAACTGAATGTCGCAAAAAATCATTTGGATCTGGCATTTTTTGTAAAAACGGAACCGTTTCTCTGTTCTGACACCTAGTAAAGACCAAACCTGATTGAATCTGAACGCAAGGCTGAACTGGAGCATTGGGACTCCTCTGAAGTTTGTTTACAGCACTATCAATCAATCTAGTGCCACCTCCACCCCCTCAGGTAGCTGACGTACACACACTCACACACTTCATTTGGCTCCGGTTTAACAGTGCTGCTCTGAGATGCATGAGATGACAGAGAGGCAAAGTGACTGAGAACAAAGTTGCATGTAGGATGCTCTTTCAAAATAATAATGGAAATGAAAATTTGAAAGGGCTGAGGATTTGCGGAGCGCAAGTTCTCTCCTTGCATGTGTAATCGCAAGATAATTGGCCACATTTCCAAATGTGGATGTGCGGCCCCGGGGAAAACATTTGCAATAATCCTACTGATTTTTACAGCAGCTGTTTCCTAGTCCCGGTTCACATGCAGAGAGGTCTGTTTGACCTGAATGCAGTGGAATCCCACAATGCACTCTGCCCAAAACACCCCTTTACATGTGTTATTCAGTGTTGGAAGTTCTGCAAGATAAGACGTAAGTATTGTGTGTTGTTTTTTTCCCCTACTTCAGTAGGAAAGCATTTGCAATTCACAAAGTAACATTTAAAATGTGAGGAGATTTAATGTTTTATGCTTATTTATGAAAAGAGCTGATAAATAAATTAATGTGAAAATTAACCTTTTTTTTTTTTTACATCCGCCTCCTGGCACATGGGGGACATAATGATTGGTCATTTTTATTTTCTGTATCCTTGATGTTTGATTCAGCAGAGATCAGATAGCATCGCTCTCTTTCTCTCCCCACAGGGCATGAACATTTTTAGATTATTATTCATATGTGAGCCACGAACTGAAGCACCTTCATCCAGAGAGCGTATTTCTCAATAGGCTTTTCTCTCCCAGCAAATCCAATTATGATAGATAACCTTCAAACCTTGATTCTAGTATAACGGATGTCAACAAATCACCCATCACCTCTTCATTCACTTCAACAAGACGTTCCTGTCAATGTGTTGACTGTTTTTTCTGTTCTTCCGTGTCTCTTTCATCTAATCCACATGGGGAGTTGCACTACTTCAGACTTTAAATGGACAGATTTTGCATAGTAGTAGTCTCCTGGGGTCCGTCTTTACCGAAACATTCTCCCTGATTATCTTGTTTTCCTTTAATGAGTGTTTGTTCTCTGCTAATCAGTTTGGCAGGATGAAATGCAATGCATAGAAATTAAATATCATGTGTCAGTTAAGTAGCAGGTATTCATTTTGTTGTGTTTGAGATTTGAATAGGTAACGTAAACTGTTTTCTCCAGCTCTCTCTGAAGCTTGACTCATAAAGCAAACACGCTTTCAGATGGAATTTATTAAGTGCCGCGGTCTGTTTACTTGTTTATTGCAATGGCTGTAACACATTTTGTGTCTCTCTCCTGTTCTTCAGGCTCGGATCTGCAGGTGTGCCAGCCGAAAGGCCTGACCTGCTGTTCTCGCAAAATGGAGGAGCGCTACTTGCTCATTGCCAAACAGAATTTGGAGTCCAGTCTCCAGGCCACCAGCACCCAGCTCAAAGTTCTCATCATTCAGAATGCCGCCCTCTTTCAAGGTGAGTTTCTGCAACAACGCAATTAAAAATACACACTGGGACTGATTCATGAAACTTGATGAAATTTCAGTTTAAGACATTTTTGCTTTATGAAGTTATGAACAAATTTATTCGCATCATGACTGATGAATGAGAACCAGTGTTTTTAGATCAACTGACAAAGGTGCGGTCACATTATGAAATTTTATGGGCCAAAAAGGTTCATTGTCAGTAGTGTATCAATGTATGAAGCTCCCACAGAGGTCACTTGCAAACCAAGCAACTTTTTGTTTGTATATTCCCTCGGTAGATAGAACGGCCGGCACTTAATAATCATAAACTCCACCAGGGGTGAGCAGTGTTTGCAGACCACAACAGCATCGCGGCACCACGCGTCATTGATGTAAAGTGCAGTGATTAATTCGTTTTTTCACCCACACAAAGAATTCCTGGTTGCATGGATTCCTAATAAAAAGACTGAAATTCGTCTGCAAAATTTGGAGAACAACAGTAAATGCGACCGCACATTCGGATGGCTGTGCATATTTACTGTTTTTTTTTTTTGCCGATTCTTGCTAGTCATATTCTACGATATGAGATCATAATTAAAGGTGCAAGGCTGATTAGTCTATTATGTCAGATAGGGCTGGGCGGTATATCGATTCATTCACGTTGATTGAAAAATGGATCTTCTTGATTGGTCAGTTTAATGAATTGTGTAATTTGGCATCAGTGGGTCGCCTTCACTAATTGTGTTGCACTAACAATGTTAGCATGGTGGATTTAGCTAGCCCCTGTCTGTTCAGAGAGGTGGTTCAATGCTAATTGCTTCAGCATTAAGCCTGAGAGAAATTCTCAAACAGCCTGCAGAATTTCTGAAATGTGCTAATGTCTCGTCGTGTTTTTCCCCGGCACGCTCCCACGGGGAATTGCGAACGGGCCTTGTTTGCAATCTTCTGTGCTGCTCTCCTCATTGCTTTTGATTCTTTTGTACTTTTCGTGGCTGACACAGATCAAAGGGCTCTGCTCTCCACTCCAGCATCCTCCATCCCTTCCCTTCACTCAACTCCCATCAGCCCCTGCTGCCCCTCCCCACGCTAGCCTGGCTTTCTCACACACCGCAAGCAGCGCCAAAGAATCGGCTCTTTGAAGTCAACTTTGCCAAACAATCATAAAAGTTAAGAGGCTCTGTCACAGGGACTTTTTCAGGGCATCTAAGTGATGAGCGCTGCGCGCCAGTTTTCTGGGTCCCCTCATCGGTCTCATATCGCATTTAGTCACAGTGTGTCACTTTTGATTCATGTCAATGGCTTGGTTAAAAGCCTCTAAAATCGTAAACGGAATCAGCCTGTGGGTGATAAAAGAGGGACATGTGGCATGTGAGGAGGTTTTTTGAGACTTCACTTTGTGATCCAGTCTGTCCTACAAATCAGGAGTTCTGAAAAATGAGACACAATAAAGGGGTGGCAGCAATTGCTATAAAATCTGTCACAGCGGTACCTTTTCAAAAGGTACTAATATGTACCATTTCGGTACTAATATGTACTTTTAAAATACTAATATGTTCCTTTAAGGTACTAATATGCATCCTTTAAGGGTAAATAAGGTGCAAAAGTGGCCACATTGACAGTTTTTGGACCTATTTTCTGAGAGAGTAGCACGATAGCATAGTACAATTTGATATCATACAAGATTGATAAGTTGTTAACCTGAGAACTTCAGGTGATATTTGTTATACAAATCATGTTTAAAAGTTATACAGAACGCCACTCGTGACCCATTTTATGGGGTAATAGTGATATTTTTATGATTTAAGGCTTGTTTAGGTCCATTAACAGTTTTTTTGTTAGTGTTTTCTTGTCAGTGTTATTGTAGTATCATTGAGATACTATTATATAGTTTTTCTTAATATTTTGAAATTATTTTTTTGTTGTTGATTTTGTAATTTTCATCAGTTTTTTTAATGTCTATGTTTTTTTAATTTTATTTTTATTATTTTAGATCAATTTAAACTAAATGAAAATGAGAAGCATTGCATTGGCAACTAGCTGAAATAAGTTTTTTTTTCTATTTTATTTTATTGCAGTTAATTTTATCGCAAGAAACACATTTTTTAAATGGTTTTATCTTTAGTTAACTATAATAAACCTGTTTGTTGTGTTCAAACTGCTAGACTAAGTGGGTTGGAACACAAAGTACAGTCTTCTCTGTTTTTGACCAAAGCATTCATCTAGCCCATATTTATCAAGAAAAACAATTAAAAATCAGCGCAGATGGATGTCCATTTTGTCTGATATCCTGGAATTCAATAGACAGACACCTTCCTTCATGCGGATGATGACCCAGTGTTGGAAATTATCAGGGGCTTGTGGCAAATATGCCACCAAAATGAACAAAAATGCACCACAAATTCAAGATTAATGGGCTAAAATTACCCCTGCACAATTAAACAATCGATTACAGCTACCGTGATTAAAAATGAATGAAAAGTGTCTATTCGCTGAATTACATTTTGAATCGTGCACGCTGCAACAGATTACTTTTTACGCATTGCTTTTTTTGTAGCGCAATCATACGCATTTCCGTTGAGCTTAGGAATGCAATGACCAATCAGAGAGGCTTAGATTAGTCAGCGCTGAAAACTCCGGAGTTGTCGCGTGTGCGCGGTCACCGATTGAATTCATAATGAACTGACTGACTCGTCATAAACAACACTGTGCAGACATGAGGTAAATAAAAGATTCATTTCGTAGCTTCAATGATTATGACAGGAGTTTTTGCATAACTTGCACTCAACTAGACTAACGTCATGGACCGACATGTTTGTTTGTGAGGACAGAGCCAGAATATATGGTGAGCCATTTCCACAAAATGCAGATGCAAAACACAAAAAAGTTTTTATATGTATTCTATTAATCAACATTAATAATCACTATTACAATATTAAAGGTGCTGTATGTAAGTTTTTGACTCTACTAAAGCATAAAAATACCATAATACGTTTGCAGATATTTAAGAAACATGCTAAGTTAACATATTTGTTTATCTGAAAAACAATGCTACAGTCAGTTATTCTCCTTTGAAAATGTACATTCCGGGATGGAATGTCTGTCTTTGTTTTGGTTTGTGAAACCCGCCCACTGCCAGTTTACCCAATTGTATTTCGGCACCCCGGGTTGCCAGTTGGCGGGAAAAACAGCGTATTTAATTTCAGTCATGGAAGCTGGCAAACGAAAGGGGTCAGAGCGGGAAATAGTACGTTCTGCCCATCCTAAAAAGCCTCGACATCCATCCAAAAAACTCTATGATCAACAACGGTATAATAAAAGCAGAATAAATATTGGAGATGCGTTTGAGAGATGGTTGTTGGTGTCGTCAATCGGCAACCTTTATGCATTTTTATGAAACCTACCTATATTCAGGTGTTGATAAAAAAGGAATGCTTTAAGCTAGAATAAAACCGAAAAGTAGAGGCTCTGATCTTTATTTTGGTGTATTGCATATTCAAATATTCATACAGCAAAATATTCTGGAGGCCATCAAATTTGAGTGAAAATCATCAAAATCGCTGGTGGTGGCTGGCAACTTTTTTCAAAAATGCTGGCGAGGAAAGAGTTAAGAGCAATAAGACAATAACGATTTTTGTCATAATATTGCAGCCTAGTTCCTGTTTTAAACATATAATTCAGACACAATTTTAAACAGCAGTTGTTATTGACAACAGTTTAGGTATTTTGATTGATTGAAGTAATTGGTTAAATTCAAGTATTTGAGATTAAAGAAAACACAGATACAATTATTAAGGTGGTGATAAAAATTGCTTTCACATATGTCTATTCCAGGGGCCAAAAATGGCCTCTTAATGGAAAAGTTAATTTCTGACCATGCAGTGAACCATATGAATTATGTGAATATGTTTGAGCGTCACTGAATGACATCTTGATATAGTAGACATTGTTCTTTATATGATGTTAAGAAAGAACTTTCATCTAGATCGAGTTTGCTGGTTACACAATATTTCTGCCAGCTGTTAAACTGAACTGGTGATTAATGAAGTGCTGGAAGGGATCATTTAGAGCTAAAGATGGATGCCAAACTCTCAGTCAGTGAGGTGTTTTGGTCTCACGTCATTCAGATTGACAGACAACTCTAATTCCTGTTAGCAGGACAGAGCGAGATCTGCAGCGGCACACAGAGCTGCTTTTAACCGCTTTGGGAAGGTACACAGCATTTAAATGACACTGACTCTTTTTTTTATTTGGAAACAAATTAACAGGTAATCCCCATTTCAAAGACTGTAATATAAAAAGAGAGTCATGCTTAATTTATCCATTTTCTCATCCTCAGATCCACCCTTGAAAGACATGCTTTAGGTATTGATGTGTGTGAGCACAGAGAGCCAGAATGAGTTCTGGGTGAGTGTGTCTGCTGCATAACCAATTCTTCCCAAAATAAGATAAAAGTCAACTTTATGTGTAGTGCCTTTTTAAACCAATAACAGCTTATCATAAAACTGCAAACAATATGGAAGAGCAAATTAACGTGATGCTTTAAGACACAAACAGACACATACCCACACAAAATGATTGTTTTGCGTTCTGTGTTTATTGCTCTAGGACAGAGCTAGTAAAAAAAGATATGGAAAACACAATGTAAATCTTTGTTTATGGTTTGAAATATCGTCATATAATGGAGACTGAGCCTCAAAAGCAGTTAGATCTGGGGTCTTCAACAGGGGGTCTGTGGCAGTATGGCAGGGGGTCTGCGAATTATTGTTTGATCTCGAACAAATGTTTGTGGAAAAAAAAGAAAATGTGTATTCAATAAAAAGACAATATTAATAGTTCAGCTGAATATTTCAGTGACCTTCCCACATTATATATTAGTCTGCACACTATATTATATATTAGTTTGCACACTGTATTATATTAGTCTGTAGTCCATTGTTGAGTTTGGTGTCAGTCTTTTTTTTAAAGAAATTAATACTTTTATTTAGCAAGTATTGATTACATTTATCAAAG